GCACTGACAAGGGGCAGTCGCTTTCTAATTACTGAGAGAGTTCAGCTGGTGCCTTGGTTTTCCATGCCTTTTTACACCTCCAGTAAGTGTGTTCAATACTTTTTCCCTGTGCCATTCCACATTATTACAAATAACTTCATTTCTGGACATTTATGGTTTGATTTCTTTATATGTATGGATCACTTGGGTTGTTACCAACATCTGGTGAAAATTTCATGTCATTAGCACCTCTAGTAATATATTTACTGAGGAACATGGTGACGTGTTCAATACTTTATTTTACCCGCTGTATATCAATGGATCCATGTTTGGTCTCAAGTCAGAACTGACTGAATTATCTGCTTTGATTGTTTGGTTCAATGTTTCCATTTGTTCTTGCTGCCTCCTGCTCAATGTTGCCTAAATTCAGCCGGATCCAGAGATTTATTTTAGTCAGTGTCAGAGAGAAAAACTTCAGCAGGTCAACAGGTTGAGATGTTTTTTATGGCTCACACAGTGCACTAACATTCAGCCCAGAGACTGCAAGAGTGATGGCCCTTTGGTGGTGCAAATGTTTGCCAGAGGTGGTCCATGCAAGGGCCAGCACCACATAAGCCAAACCACTGGGCCACTTCTGGCATACCATCTTAAAACACTGCTGTTGTTGCCAGACCTGGCCCACACCTGTCTGCTACATGGGTATCTGATTTTCTAATTTCCTGTCTGGATTAGAGACGGCTCATAAAACCAGCCTCTTTACCTGTTATTTTTTTAATCATTCAAGTAGTTTATTAATTCACTGTATGCTCAGATTCAAACCTGCAGCCTGAAAGAGAAATCTGTTTTATCCACTGAGCTGCAGCACTGAGACTACATGCATCTCCCTTTAAAAGTGAGTCTGTTAGTGTTGCTGAGCATCTGCTGCTTCAGATATGTAAATATTTTAGCGCTCACAGACAGATGGCTGAGCAGAAGATGGAGAGAGAGAGAAGATGTTTGGTTTGTAGAGAGGAATGGGACAGGAGGCTGGTACGACCAAACAACTGGACTTTAAGTTCTGTTCAGGCAGCTTCATTTGTACCTCAGCTCAGAGTCCTGCACATAAACAATAAACTGCAGAAAAACAATAAAAACTATTATAAAATTATATGAAATACATCAGGAAAGAACATTTTGCTTTAATAAAAAATAATAATAATAACCCACAGCAAACAGGACAGTTGGAGCATTTTGACCTGTGGTGGATAGCGCTAATCCAAAGGTTAGTTGTGCAAGTTCTAAAGCGCTCAATAGAACTTAGCAGAAACTAATTATAAAGGTCAAAATTGACTGAGTTCACCAGAGTATGTTCCAGTGATAACTTGAGCCACTCTTGCGTAACACTTCTGACTAAAGGCACGTCAATTTACTTTTACAGCGTCGCACGTATCATTGCAGTATGGGGAGGTGATTTGTTGAAACAGACTTTTGGCTCATGGTGATAAATAAACGCACTCATTGTGTGTGCATGATTATGCACAGGTGTGGCGGACCATTTACAGTGCTGTTGTTGAAAAAAAAACTTGACTTTGATTCTAAACCAGTCACCGTGTGTCCTAAAGTTACTAGTTATTAGTCAAACTAACTTCTTCATTTTGACAGCCACAGCCTGGCCCGTCCTGTGTTATCTCCTTCCAGCTCTTACTTTGCTGCTCGTGATTAGGACAGATTATCTGAGGACATGGTGGATTCTCGGCTGAGTAGATTTGTTTCCATCATTGGTGGGAGGAGAGTTTGTTGTTGTTGTTGTTGCCTCAGTCTGCATTTTCTCTTCTTCCTCATATTCTGGTTCACGATGGTGTTTCAAGTTTGTAGCATTAGTGTTAGCTCTGCATTAGCATTAGCTCCACATTAGTGTGTGAAGCTAACATGTTAGGGTTATTTCCATGTGTCGGCTCCATTTTTAAGTGTTATCTCTGCATTAGTGTTAGCTCCATTTTAACATTAGTATAACTCCATGTTAGAATTAGCTCGGCATTAGCAATATCTTTAGCTCTACGATATAATTCACTAATCACCATAACTGTGTGCCAAATATTAATCTGACAGTTTTTCTGATGATTAATTGCACACAAAACAACATTTTTGCCCAACCCTACACCTCAGAGGTCCTGTTGGTTTTTAGTGCAGCAGAAGATCGTGATGTCTTTTGGACCCAGACTGTGTAAAACCAGCAACAGGAAGCCAGAGCAGAGACCTTAGAACTGGGCTGATGTTTGTGAGGACAACAGAAGCTGAGTTTTATGGATTTTATTTTAGGAAGACCTGGAGTTTATCCTAGTTTCTTTCTAAACTCAGATTTGGTGTAAAAGCGACGTTACAATAAAGTTTGACTGTGTTTCTGTCTCCTTCAGCGGTGACGGTGCTGCCATGGAATCAGGATCTTCAGATGTGACGACCAATCAGGAGCCTTCTGAGGTCCAGGAGGAATGTTCAGGTAGCACCTCATCTGTTTACAGTCCAGGATTTTCTCTACTTAAAATTCATTTAGTTTTTGAACTAAGATGTTATTTGTTCAGAGTCAAATATTGACTAAGTGCATCCGTGGAGCTGAATTGGGGCTGTCGTGGCAAGTTTATCAAGAATGCAGAAACACGTTGGAAATAAATGCACAGAAAGTCTGCGTGTATGGTCGTCAGTAATTTAATTCTGAGCGACAAACAAACAGAACTCAATCAGGAAACTCTGTCGGCTTGTGGCTGACACGTCAGTGGAAAGCAGCCAATAATATACACCATGATAACATCATATGATGTGCTCATAACCAATCACAGATCGCCAACTGTAACCGCCCAGCCAATAACAGGGCTCATAGCCCAAAGAGTTACCTACATAGACAAGAGAGGTCAGTCCGTTGCGGAGTCCTGACGTCTGGGCAAACAGATTGACATTGATCATAAGATATACAGTGGGGAAAATAAGTATTTAGTCAGTCACCAATTGTGCAAGTTCTCCCACTTAAAAAGATGAGAGGCCTGTAATTGACATCATAGGTAGACCTCAACTATGAGAGACAAAATGTGAAAAAAAATTTGAGAAAATCATTTTGTCTGACTTTTAAAGAATTTTTTTGCAAAAAATGGTGGAAAATAAGTATTTGGTCAATCACAAAAGTTCATCTCAATACTTTGTTGTATATCCTTTGATGGCAATGACAGAGGTCAAACGTTTTCTGTAAGTCTTCACAAGGTTGGCACACACTGTTGCTGGTATGTT